CACCCCTGCATTATTTTTTATCAAGATCCTTTATCAAGATCCTGCAAAATTTCCTGGGCTAAGAGAATATTGTCAGAAATACCACGTCTTTTAATAAAAGCCGACTGGTGAGAGGAGATGAGAGAAGGAAGATGGGGTTGAAGACCAGTCACAATCAGTTTACTGATGATTTTAGAAATCACTGAAGTGAGCGAGATGGGCCTAAAATCCTTCCAATGAGTTTTATCATTAGTTTTAGGGATAAGAACAATCAAGGCGGCAGAAAAATACTTTCCAGGGTCTTCACCCTGAAAAAAACTTTGAATCGCAAGAACCGCCGCTTTCTTTATGATGGGAAATATAAAAAGCGGAAGTGAAACAATCGGGGCCAGGAGCCTTCAGAGAACTAATATCTTTAAGTGCAGTGAAAATCTCTAACTCATTGGGGGGGTCGGACAAGAAGAGGGAGGAAACCAAGTCCCTCGGATCCTCAAACAATTCTGATAGAATATCAGTGACCGGAAGAGCCTCAGCACAAAGAGAAGAAAAATAATCATCTGCATTGGAACCAATTTGATCGGCATCAGTGAGTACATTACCCTCATCAGTAACAATCTTAATAATAGCATTTATATTACGACGATGTTTGATAGTAGCATGAAAATATTCAGTGTTTTTGTCTCTGTTTTTGAAATGAGTGTCACAAGCTTTCTATCTAAGGAAATCCTCCTCAATAGTGATTTCCTCCAAGAGAGTATGATGAGCATTAGCTAACTTGACACAAGATCAGGAGTGACTATCACCTGTGCCTTTAAAGCATCAACCTCCTGTTGGGCCTTCGAAACCATAGATGAACATTGCCAAAAGTATTCATGTTCCACCTTTTTTAAGTAAGAAGCAACGTTCTTATGTAATTGCCACAAAATGAACCAAGGATTACCACTCCACTGCGAGACCGAAGTTTGCTTAATCAAATCAATAAAGTAGGATGAGAAGTCCAAACATGAAAAAATTTAAAGTGATAGCGAGCAGGTTTAGAATGAAAAGTCAAACTAAGCAAAATAGGGTTATGATCCAATGCAGCATGATTAAGATTTTTGACATGAATAATACTGTAGTAGCCCAGAAAAGATGAGTTTCCCAGAAATCTATATAAGAAAACCACTCTCCCAAGTATAAGGAGAGTCTAAAAAGCCTAAATCATAAAGGCCAGCATCCGCAATATGCTCACAAAAACAGTTGATAAGACTTGTATCAACTTTAGCACCACCCATTCTCTCTGACGACGACATAATCATATTTAGATCCCCTCCAACGAACCAATTATCAGAAATAGTAGCACCCATATGAGTAAGTTGTTGTCAAATGAGAAGTTTGTCCCTTAAAAGAGAGCTGGCATAAATGAAAGTAGTCTAACCAAAAAAATTCTCCAACTGATTATGAATAAGAACATATTGCACATTATCATCAATAATTTTAAGAGTGATATCTTTCTGCCAAAAGAGCCAAATTTTATTGTTCAGATTACTATAATGCATGTAACTCATGAATTTCTTAATGATATTCTCTTTATGAACCGTTACAAACGGTTCCAAAATAACAAAAATGTCTGGCTTATGGACCCTACATAAATGTTTTAAACGATTAAAGAAGTGAGGGTCCGCCACTACTCTAATGTTCCATACCAGAATGTTAAACATTTTGGCCCATGACACCCCCCTCCTAGCAAACCTAGGGGGAAGATGCAAGTGCTCACCCTCCGAATGGTATGTGACATCAATAATGTTTGTCTGTGTCATAATTGGGAGTTCTGATTTGCTTCTACCTCTTCTCCTGCTATCAGATTCTAAAGCCATAGCAGTCATAGCAGATGGGTCCGGCGGTGGGGGAGTAAGGGGGGAGTAACCGATGGAGTAGTATGTTGATTATTTGCTTGTGGGGGATCCTGAACCTCAAATTGTTCGGCTAAAGCACTAGGGATCTGAGCCATTATGACACCTTCAAAGACCCACTATTGTTTACCTTGAGGGCATGGATGAGGATCACCTTTTGATTTACCAATCTAGACTACTTTATAAACCAACTAGAGGTCAACACTTACATGAGATAAAATAGCTCCTTCAACTGAGCTGATTTTTGTTGAAGTTTTAGGAGAGTCTAGAAACATATCATTTCTAAGTAATAACATTTGATAGTAGGGTGAGGAAGTAGAAAAGGGCTATTAAGGATAAGAAATGTATTTTTTTTTAGTGTGATGATCCAAAAAGAGTAAAATTAAAGACTATAACATTTGATTATGAAAATTTTAGATTACTGTATGACGTAAAATAAATGTATAAAATAGATGAAGAGAAAAAATAAAGAATTTTCAAGTTAGATATGAAAAAAATAATAAAATGTTAAAAATAAAAATCTGATGAAAATGTTACTTTGATAACTTATTAAATGGAAGTTTTAAGTGATGAGTACTTCAGGAGAGCATAATAAAAATAAAATGAGATGATTATTGATTGATAAAAAAAGTGAAGTTAGCCCTAAAAAGGATACATAAAGGCAATTGTTTGGTTTACATGAGATAATTATTAAGCATTAAAGAGTTAAGCGGGATCTTGCAATAGTTTGGCTAACGAATCTTTTCAATGGAATTATGAAGGTTAATAGAAAGACAAATACGGAGAAAAATCATTCTAGCTCCAGCACTTAAGAGCAAAAAAGGCGTACAAAATTGGGTTAGCCACAGAGATATCAAATTTGAGTAATAAAATAATAAAGCTATGTGAGAGAATAAAGAAATATATTTTTGAAAAAAAATTACATCAATTCAGAAGAATCAATTTGGTTTCATGTTTGCACAATTCACTTTAGACAAAATTATTTGGTGAAAATACTAATTGCATTTAAAATAGTTCTAGAATGATAAAAGAGAGACCAATTATTGTAAGATTACATCAAGAATTATTTTAAAGATTATACATCTTTTTTAAAAAAAAAGATTATTCTTCTTTATTGGTTAAGAAGATGCTTACAATTAGGGAGCATTCGATCATTTGAGATAGATCGGTTTTTCAAACTGGTCAAACCGAATGTAACTGAAATCCAAAATCCAAAAAATCGAACCAATCAAAACTTTGATAAAACCAAGCCGACGGAACTTACATTTAATTTGATTTAAATGGTTCAGTGAGAAATAAACCGAAGTTTACTCGTTAGTTGGAGTTAGGTTAAAAACAAAGATCAAGAATTACATACATAAATTCTACATTTAATTTCAATTTTTTTGTTTTTTGATTTGTTCAGATAAATAAAAATTAGGGACAATTACATACAGAGCACAAGAAACATTGCTATTTACAAATCAAGCACATAAGTGAATTTTTTAACTATAAAACCGATGCATTTACGCGTACCACAATCAAACTATTGTGAATTTGATAAAAATGAAAATTATGGGTTGGGAATTTATCATGAGTTTTCATATTTCAGTGAGAAATTGAAAAATAAATGAAAGAGAGTGCTTGATTTGTAAATAGCAATATTTTGGGTGCCATGTATGTAATCACCCCTAAAAATAAAAATAAAAAATAATAATAACTAAAAACCTAATATTAAAGTTTTAAAAACCAAAACCAAAATACATTTTCAAACAGAACTAAATCAATCAAACCTCTTCAGCTCGGTTCAATTTTTGGTTTTCACATAATGATGCATACCCCCACTTACAATAGATATTTAAAAAGAGGTACACTAGGGTATGCTTTTCGTAAAAGATAGTTATTATCAATATAAATACAATGAAATGAGTGAAAAGATAAAGCAATGAGGATGTCCATAAAATATAGAGAACTTAGAATTAGCAAAACAAAAAAAAGGTATAGAATATGCAATTTTAGTGCGTGTGACATTCACAATTACAGTCAATATTTTGAGAATAAATTGATATCTAAGTTTAACAAATTTGTGGAGCTTCAATCTATTACAAAAAAGAATAAAGATAGAAATGAAGATATAACATTCAGAATTAAACTCGGATGTGGTAATTCAAAATGCAAGTGCCATAAGAGAATTATATGAAAGAGAATATCATGGAGACTAAAATGTAAAATTTACAAAATATCAATTAAATCAGTGATATTGTAGGGATTTAAGTGTTGGAAAATAAATAAAAAAACGATGATGTCTAAATTGAGTGTGATAGAGATGAAAATATTTAAACTGGTGTGAAATAAAATTAAGAAGAATACATTAAGGAATAACTATATTAGAGGAACATTTAAAGTGTCGTATGTTGACAAAAAGATAATTGGAAGTACAATTAGGCAATCAACAAAAATGCAACAATTAGACGAGAAGGAAAAAAATTAATCACTAGGAGCAGGAAAGTTAAAAACTAGACCTATGGTTGCATGAATGGAAGTTTTTCAATATAATTTGTAACCTCAGAAAATACTCAGGAAGAATGACTGAGAAATGGGGACTCAAAAAACAAACCCCAAATAATCGGTACAAGGCAAGTGATGATAATGACCATGAAACAAGACTTGCCTTAGTAATTCATACCTTAACTCCCAAACATGAGCTCATGGATAATATCCCTATTACTCACATTTTTTCTCCCTTAGAAAAATATCATGTTTTTCCATGACCATAGTACTTTTGCTTTGCAATAAAATTTACGTAATGCTCCAATCAAATTTTTAATAAATAATTTCATAAATTTTTTTGTTTAAAATATTTTCCCATGCATTGGGATGTGTATTTTCTAATAGGCATGTCTTTTGCTTATAAATGCAAAAAAAATTAAATATGAACAAATCATCATTTTCTCTCTAAACAAGTTTATGTGCACAAGTATTGTTCACTTGTCCACAGAAAGAGTTATGGCATAATAAAAAACTCATAAACAAGGATATTCCATAAAATGAATTACATCAATGCCAAATCCTGACGCACAAGTTCATGCTAAGAACATTTTTTATGCAAAATAAGATAAAACCAAACAATAAAAGTATGGAAAAATAAACCTGATTTCCAGTTTTTCTTTCTCTCTCTGCTCCAGCAAGATCAGCGATCGTAAGAATTGCCTTAGTACATGAATGATCATCCGTGTCACTCTTCAGCATGCAACGAACATTAATGATACATTGAGATCGACTGCAAACCAAAAAAAGGATCAGTTATAATAATATCAAAACATATTATTAAAGATTAACTAGTAAAGAAAACTAGCACCACGAAAATGGATATGCATGAAAGCCTGTACAAACATTTATTCATGGATGCATGTGTACAAACATTTATTCATAAATGTACACATCATACATGTATGCATGCACATGTGCGTGTTTTGTGATTAACATTCTCATGTTCAATATTGTAAAGCAAAGATAAATCAATGCTGCATGCACTGCAACCTTGACAAGAAAGAAAACAAAACCCCTAAAGATTCAGAGAAGCTTCCAATGACAATCAATGCTTATCTCTCAAACATGAACTACATTCTCCAAAAAGATATTAAGATAAAGTAAACACATCGCAATTCACACTTTGAATCTAGCACATAAAAATCTATACATATATCAAGACTCAAGACACAAAAGTAGGACTAAAATGCTGATTCATGCAACAGTTTTCATTTCAGCCAGCAGCAAAATTTATTTCAGTATCACGTGCCTTGACTTGTTATTTGCATTTGTAGCAGCAGTAGACCGTTTGAAGGTGCCATGTGCTATTAATTTTTCTGCATCAGCAACTGAAGAAATCTTGACCTATAGAATCAGAAGAACCTCTATAGAACCCTACAAAAAAAATTGTTGTAAAAAACAAGATAGAACAGTTTCTGAATTTGCAGTAGTTACCTCCTTAAAGCTGCTAATGCCTCCCTGCTGGTGTGGCACAGACTCTGGTAACAAATCAAAAATCTTTTCTGCTTTCCCTCGTTCAGAATGTATTTCAAACATAGATAGATAATACGTCCTGTAATAATATGATACTCAATTTCTAAAATAAGAAAAGAATCACAATCAAAGAGAGAAGACAAAATATAGCTACACAACCAAAATTATCACTTCATTAATAGTTTTGACTCTCAATTCTCTAATTTGACCTATAAATTTAAACTATTAATAAACATTTTTTTTATTAAAAAGCTAACTGAAGTTCCTATAGAAAGGAGTGCATGACTAATGTGTGGATATCAAGAATCACACAGTTGATGACATTCGCTATGTTAAGAAATGGTTTTGAGCTAGAGATGCAACCACAACCTACATAATGATTACAAAAAGTAAGACTCATTTAATTATAGAAAATGGCCATAAATTTAAAAAAGAAAAGTTTAACAGAAAGCACTACATCCAATCATTGATGTACACACCAAAATGTACCTAGAGCTTCGAATATTCTCATCAACTGCTGCCTGGCTAAATATTTGCCTAAATGCAAGAGGCACAATACCCAGTTGCTGCGGAGATCCAAACATTGTATATGTCTTCCCAGAACCCGTAGGCCCCATTGCAACTAAAAGAGAGCTATGTCCTTCCATAAAATCCATCACTAGAGGTTGCATTACTCTATCATAAATGTCCACCTAAAGAAAGGAAACTTCATAAGCTATTCCACTCATAATAAGTATATGCATTGATTAATAATATGTCATTTCTAATAACATAAAAATAACTACAATATATGAAACTTTACACAATTTCTTAATAGAAGCTTTATCATAGTAAGGACAAAAAGCATATATAAATTTAAGTTGCAGAGTTGAAGTGCATTGACTCTTCTTGTAAGTTATTTGAAACATTGATGATGTAGTTCTTCTTTAATAGGCACAAGGTCACCTGATTGGCGCTGCATAACATACATTGCCAAGCGATAAAGTGAAAAGTATCAATCAGGATTCTTGCACTTCAATGATAGTCAAAATTATTTATTTACACAGGTCTCCGTTTGGACAGATAATTACAGATTACTTTATTGAAAAATGGCCAACATACATAGAGGTTGTATTTGAGACAAACTGAACAATTGATAATTCAACCTCACACTGGCCACTGATACAACAAAAAAGAAAGCAAAATCCTCATAACCAAGCAGACATAGTAAAAGTTGCACAAATTACAATCCATGAGTATTTGAGAATCCATCACATGAAGATACACAGTACGTCAAATGCATAAATTTGCACTGGAAAAAGGCAATCTTTACTCAAAATATGCATGATACTTGTAGATATAATGCCAAGAAATGAATTTGAATTGCCATGGAGGTAGAAGACCAAAAAAAAAAACAACCCCATATAAAGTAGAAACAAGCATTCAAAGATAGAGGAGAAGTGAAAAAATAGAAATCATAAGGAAAGAGGAAATATAAGACAGTAAAAGAGAAAGAAACATGAACACTGAATGAAAGCAGAAGAGAACAGAAACAAGAGGCATTATTTCTTACTTCTATCATCGATAAACCAATTTCAACATGAGGGTGGACGAAATTGTGGCTCTATACCTCCATCCTTAAAGCATTTGACTAAAACTTTACCATACAATAAAGGAATTATTAACTTGAATAATATGTGAAATATTCTATGGAATTTAATGAACGGTGAAAAAAAGGTAGAGGTGACATTAGGTACGGTTCCATTAACAGCTACAGATTAAAGTAAAAAAAAAACACATGCAGATTAAGCTCAAACCTCGGAAGGAAGGTTTCAGGTCATTACTAAACATGGATGTACAATATATGAGTGTAAATCTTTGCATGCAAAACGGAGGAAAGAAATAAAACAAGCAAAGCTGCTAGGCGGCATCAGTGGCAGAGAAACAACTGAATAGGTCAGATGTGGCGTTGGCAGATTCAAAATGATATGGCTCTTGTAATAGATTGAAAATCAAAATTTAGGAGTTCCATACGTAAATACATAGAAAATGAGTGGTATGTATGTAAATGCTCTTAAAAAAAAGCCCAATAAATGATCGGATAAATTGAACAAAGCAACGTGAAAGAGAGCGGGAGAGGTCGAGTGAGAGTGTCAGACGGGTGAAGGATAAATAGTGATAGGAAAACCGAGCGAGGGGCAGCGGAGATGGGGTCGACAGCCAGCGGATCAACACAAGATTAAGGGTCCGTTTCGGGCAGCTTGTGCGTTTCAGGATAAGCTGCTTATCCTGAAACGCGGCCGCGGGCCGCGTTTAGTGTAAAAACCCAAACGCAGTTTCGGATAAGCTGGCGAAACGCGCGAACCAAACGGTACGGAGGCGTTTTCAAAACGTCGCCCGCACTTATAAGCTGCCCCAAACGGACCCTAAGCAAGCAATAGTTCTGGGAACGAAGGAGCTAAAGTTTTAAAATGATGAAACAAGAGTTATAATTATTTATATATTTCAATTTAACTGGACTAAATAAATTATATTGAGTATAAATAACATTCAATTACTAATTAATAATAAATTATTATTAAAAAGTTAATGTATTGAAATTTATTTAAGTTAATTTATATATAATTAATTCAAAGTATTTGTTTGAATTAAATTAATTTCAAATTGATGCATTTGTATCTAATTTATCTAATTAAACACTAAATATAATTTATAATTTTTTTCTCAACCCTAATTAGGTTAATTAAAATGTATTTAGCATATGTTAATTGTCAAATCAATTATTACTTACCAAATCATTAAACTAATTAAACAATGTCTTTTAAATAAATAAAAATCACAAATATATTTAAAATTAATATATTTAAATTCAAAACTTTAAAGCTATAAGTTAATAGAATCCACTTAAATCATAATTTGACAATATTAATATTTATTTATCAACCAATATTCATCTCTTGTCTAAATTGTGGAAGCCTTCTCCACCAAATAAAAGTTGTAACATGAGCTAGACTTACAGCAGAAAGACTTCAACAGGACTGGCAATATAAAGGAAAAGAGGCTATCATAGCTAATTTCTATCTTCACTCAAATTCATAAAATAATCTTTTAATCAAATTCCCCAAATCCTCAACATAAAAAACCTGAGAAAGCAGTGATGAGAGATCAAGGCGAAGCCAAACCACATCTTCCTCCTCAAATCTAGGATTTACAACAAAAATGTGTAGAATAAAATTTATAATTACAAAAGGTAGCACTTAAATTCTTAGGGTTTGTTTGGAATCACTTTCTATTTTTTATTTTTTTTTTCATTTTAAGTTTGTTTTGTTTTGGTTTTGTTTTTTATTTTCTGTTTTTAGAAAATATGTTTGGTGGTGCTATGATTTATATGTTTTTAAAAATAAAAAATATAAATTATGTTTGATTGGACAGTTTTTTTAAGAAAAACTATACTTTTCAATAAAAGGGTTGGGCATACGTGCACTTCGGACTCTGTCGCTCATGGCATATATGTCTTTCGTGCTCCACCCAGCACGAAGCATTACCCGTGGGCGGGCGGCAGCTGACAGGGGTCGACGACTGCTGACAGCGATGGCTGGTGCCTCCCGACGACTGTCTCTGTCGAGCAGCAGCTATGGCAAGTGGGTGCAAGCGGAAGCGTGCGGGGGACGGCAGGGGTGCGCGGGTCGGCGACAATCGGTGGGGGCCACCAGCAGCTGGCGGCGGCCGACTGCGGGTTTGCTGCGGCTAGGGGCAGGCAGCGAGCCTCGCACAAGAACTGCTACAAAAAACATGTTTTTAAAATAGTAAAAACATAATTTATGTGTTTTGGTATTTTGAAAACAAGTCTTATGTGTTTTAGAAACAAAATTAAAAAAATAAAATAAAATAAAATAAACAAACAATAATGATCTCAAACAGGGTCGTAGTAAATTGGTTAAAAATAAAATGAAGAATTATAGTTTATCTAGCTCTAGCATTCACCATACCAAAAGAATAGTGTTGTGTTGAAATTCATATACTCTTACATATTAGTTTGAACGAACTAAAAAATTGTACACTAAAAATGAGTCCATGATGATCCTAAAGAGATCTAACGATACCGAAGGGCTACCAAACAACCAAGGAACAACCCAGCCGACCGAAATATTGAATAGCTGACAATCGGATCATGACAGCCTACCGGAAGTCTCAAGAGACAACCTCGGAGCCGACAAGACTGAGCGCAAAAGATGTTGAAATCGAGGAAGTATCATTTGTGCCTCATTGGTAAATATGATCACATTTTTTTCTTAAAAAATTCTCTCATTCTTATTGCAGTTTCGTCTCCCAGAAGTAAGAGAATTAAGAAACTTAATATGTACGCTACAAATATGTCTATGTTGATCCTAAAGAGATTTAACAATATCAAAGAGTTGTCAGATAACTGAAGATCTACCAGACTACCCAAGAGTTGTCAAACAACCGAAGGGTTGTCAAACGACCGAAGGGCTCCTGCTCGACTGAAGGTCTGCCAGACAAGGCCAACAAGGGAAAGGCATCCACGCCAACGATTGAACAAAGGTTTAACATTCCAACAATCTCACAAGTATCAACATGAAGCTCTCTCAAACAACTCTTCAAGAGATCAAATACGGGTCAAAAATAGTTATGAATACGAAAAGATGTCAAAAAAAACAATAATAGCCAGTAATGTCACTATCAAAGCAGGAGAAAGCATGTAATTTTACGTTTTTGGCCCTTTATCTCTTATAAATATGGGATTCGTAGAATTTATTAGGGGTTTTTGGCTCTCCTCTCAGACTCATCCTCTACAGGGAAAACTCTCTCCCGCCCATACAGGACAAGTCCAAGTACACTCTCTCCTTTTCTCACCCTCTGTCTCTCTATATCTCTCCCTCAGGGTTCCCAACGCTCCGATCCTTTGGCATGCCGCACATCCAATGAGAAAATCTAAGTTTTAAAATTATTGTGTGATTATCATTGCAAAATCCCATAAATTCGTTGAACCCCCATGACTTACAAGAAAAATGTGTCAAAATATGATTTAAAATTACAATGATTTTATATGAGATAGAGATGTTTAGATATAATTGATAGATTGTATGCACTCAAGTTTGATTTATTCAAGAATTTAATAGAATTTAATGATTTTTTTTACTATTAAATTATTTATATATGGAGGCAAGCACAAGACGAGTTTAGGACTCGTCGTAAGGCTGCCCTCAACTCGGATGAAATATTCAATTATTAAATTAAGAAGAAGATTATATGAAAAGTTAATGTTTATTATTATTTACTAATATACATTATTTATCTAGAATTTACATTTTAAAAAAAATTCATATTGAGCATATCAATCCCGATCAGCCTAGTTTGATGATGCAAATAAACATCTGCTTAATTTTAATTTACAGAATTTCATAAAATTATAATAATAAGTATAAATTATTAATTATTACATGTCATATTGTGTTTATCATGCATGTTAATAAAGAAATTGTTACAAGTACATTCAGATTAACAAATAAAAGGATTTGAAAATAATTAAAACACATAAATTTGATTTTAAAAAAAAAACATATATGTTGTGGTAAAGAAATAGATATATTAATGATTTGCACAAGAAAGATAAAAATTTCAATAAGATGAGTCTTGATAAGAAAATAATTGAATTTTTCAATCTTAATATTAAAATTGAAAAAGATCCATT